TAAGGCCAGCTCTTGCTAAATGGCCATTTCTATGTGGCAACATTACTAGATATTGCTCCTAACAAAAAAGCCAGTTCAAGCTCTGTAGTTCAGCAGACAGTAGGTGTGTCTGCAGTGGGAGAGGAGGGGGGCAGCCAAGATCACCAGATTTATAAACACCTTCCTGTTCTATCCTCCTGGCTCTGGATGAAGGAGGTGCGGGGAATGATGGTGATCTCCAAAGGGTGCAAAGGCAAGGCTCTGTAGCAAGTCCCAGTACAGCAGCTCTGTAACAGTTCAAGGTCACACACTCAGGAGACCTGATCCATCTTCCCACACTGGCCTCTAGGCCGCAAAGCCTTCCACAAAGTAGCAGTATACTAGACCTTTTCTTCTCCACTCCTGCTGTCTGACCCTGAGCCAAGATTACACAGCAGAGCTTGTCTCACAACAGCTAAAACCCTGGCTTGGGCTCTCCTGGAGCGACAGCAAACAGGGGTCGCTGTTGCACAGCCCAGAAGATGCTGGGCCAGCTAAACACATTGCTGGCTGCATTTTAATCCAGAAGTCTTACTGTGGAGAGCACCTTCCTCCCCATCCATGCAAGCAGGGCTAAACCCTAGATGAGGCCAAAAGAGCAGCAGTAGATCTGCAGCTGCACTTGGCACAGGTAGTGCTAGGCACCACACTGAAGCCACTACACGTAGTGCCTCTGGTAGCAATCCTGAGAAACAAGTTGCTGGAAGGGTACATGCAAGAGCTCTGCAGTTCCACTGCCTGTCCTAACTAGAGTCCCAAAAGTAAGCATACAAGGGCACTAAGGCTTTATTAGCAAATCCCCTGGGTCTAGCTCAGACAGAGGTGGGCTGGGAGGCCTATGGCAGGCAGGAGGAAGGAGCCAAAACACAGGTATGTCTCTTGGATGTAAATGTACACACTTAAAACCAAATACTACCCCTTCTCCAGTCATGCTAGCACAGAATGCCAAGGGCAATTAGCCTGAACCAGACCATAGCTACAGCAGTATTGGGACACCCCTTTCAAACGTCAAAGCACCAACACAAAGCTCAGTGGTGTTACAGGGTCACTCTGCTCAGCTCACAGGCTCCGTGCGAGAACAGATTACACATGCTCAGTTTAAAGGCTAGGAGACTGAAGCCCTCCCTCTCCTCTTAGGCTGGGAGCTCTCCACCCTGTGAACCCAGCTCCAACTACTTAAATGTTCCCTAGGTTTTGGCTCAGCACAACAGCCCCCTGCAAGAGGGGACGAGGCCTACCAGAGTCTGGGGACATCTCAAGATCTTGCTCAAAACCCTGGACACAAACAAGCTCCTGTTGCTAGTCCCCGCTAGCCTGGCACTTGCCTGAGCATCTGTCTCCTTGCAGATAGGTCAGTCCTCAAACTACCTCCAAAAGGGTGCAACATTTCTTGCTCTCCCCCAACATGCCTAGAGATGCTGGGGAGTCAGCTCTGGCCAGGTCCCTCTGGCACCTGACAGCAAGAAGAGCATGGCTGTCTGAACAGACCCGTGTGGTAAACTCTTGCCCACTGTGGTTCAACTTGAGAGGATAAGCGAAGTGATGTCCATTGTGACAGGAGGGACACCACCCAGGACAGCTCGCATCAGAAGAGTGGCTGCAGGATTACTGTGCATGGAACACAGGATACCAGCCCATTCAGTGAGAAGTCAGCCAAGATGCTGCAAAGGCTACTGCCTGCCTCTGACAGGAACAAACCCATGCTTCCTGCATCCAAAAGCAGCTGCTCACTGGATTGCTCCCACCACCACCTTCCCTTCCCCTCCTTTCCCCTTCCTCAGTTGTTTCTTTCATGCCAAGATTCAGATTTGTATTCTAGCCTTCTGCCCTGTCCCAAGGTGTGCTGCATCTGCCTTGGGCTGCGAACCTTCAGTTAACCTTTCCTCTGGACCTGGTGTCCCTCCATCTTAGTAACACGGAGCAGGATTTCCTTAGATCCATAGACCTAGGAAAGGAACAGACCTCTGGCCCCACACCTGTCTGTGCAGCTCAACCATCACCTGCAAAAGCACCGTCTGAACAGAAGCCAGCCAGGAGACTCTTCAGCTCCCCAGGAATGGAAGTCCTGTCTCGGTGTCCTCCCTTCATGACAAAAGGGGATCTGTCTCATACGCTTAAAAACATCATGTCCCTGTATCAATCCACAGGCTGGACTGGACTTTCAACCATGTCTGAAAAGCCCTCTGGGCATGAACAGCAGAGCCCGCTGCCAGTGCCACATCTATCCCCTGGTCTTTTGATGACAGGAGAGCCACCACTCAGAGACACGATGACACTGGATGCACATGCCTGCCAGCTGTGGGAGGACCACTTGCAGTTCTGCTTCCTTCCCTGCAAGCGCTCTTATGCAGATACGGGCTCAGGTCCAACACCCAGGGGACCTTGCAGACCAGAAGATTCAGATGGGGAAGGGCTGTGCCAGTTGCATGAGGGGGTCCCCAGAAAGGAGGCTTATCAGGAACTGGGATGGGGGACAGGTTATCAGGGCAGGTCTCCATCCCTCTGGCAGAACTAGTAACTAGGAGACCAGAGTCTCCTCCAGATAGACTGCTCTACAGAGCTTCATTCACTGCACAGCACTCATGGAGCCAAGTGTAAAGGCTGCCCTCTCACTGGGGAGCAGACAGTTAACAGTCATCTGTACACAGCAGCTACAGCAGCAAAATTAGACATTTGCTGCCCTAATGGAAACCAATTACCCAGCTCTGATTTCCACTTCCTTCAATAAAGTAGCCCAATCCTTTGGCTAATGGCACTGCTGCACATCCTTCACTGCATTGCCATCCCTGCCCCAGCCCCAGCTAACACCCCATATGCATGGCTGGTGACCATCACCAGCAGGAAATCCACAGAAGCTGAATACCATATGCTCCCCTGGTTAAAACCCAAACAAACCTGCCCCAAGTGTCCCACTGTTCCTTTTGCTTTCCTATCAGAGACTGGAGCTGCCCCTGGGGCTAGCAGCATGGTCACAGTGCTGACTTGGCAGCATAACCTGAGGGAAGCCCTGATGGCTGAAGCACACAGGGGTGGTAGACAAGTCCTCCTGCTGATTCCAAATGCGGGAAACAGCAGTACAGGAAGTGAGACCCACAGTGACTGACCAGAGTGGGATGCAAGCTCAAAAAATTAAAATGCCCCAACCAAGTCAATGTGCAAAATGTGAGCCCTGAACAACAAGCCCCTCTTGTCATTGCCTTACCCTTAGATAAAACTGGAAGCAGAAAGGCTAGAAGGAAAGCACCCTGGATGGAGGCAGATGGATCAATGTAGCTGATGGGAAGAGAACAGGCAGTTGATCAGATGAATAAGTCACCAGCCTTCTACCCAGTTCAAAGGAACAAAGCCCTCAGGGGCGGCTGGAAAGCAGCTTCTGTAGGATTTGCATGTGGCTCTGGAGTGCCCCAACAGCACTGCAGGAGAAACACTGACATGAATGAGGACAGTCTCATGTTCCCTTGCTCTGGCATCCGTGTGGAATAGTGAAGAGGGAAATCCTGGCTGCTCCTGTCCAGTTTCATGGAGCCATACAGGCCCCAAGCCAATAACTTTTCCTGCCCTGTTATGGCATTCCCTGGCACTGGCAACACAAAAAGGACTGTCCAAAGCTGCCTGTGAACAATCAAGGGAATGAAGAGCTGAATCCCATGCACCACATTGAGACTATGTTGGTGCTAGACAACAAAGGAAATACACACACCTCAGCTCTGCCTGGCTCCTATGCTTCCCAAGAGAGGGCAACTAAGGCTAAAGAACTAACTACAGGGCCAATGTCCCCCAGAGGTTATATCCAACTTGGGCAAGTCACTGTAAAACTCCGAAATGGAGAGGATGCCTTCCCCTCTCAGGGCAAAGGCCAAGCCATGGACCTGGCACCTGGATCTCTGGGTCCATGTTCACAGTCTTGAAGCTGTCATGCTGTGGGGCTTTGGGCAAATCCTTCCCTCATCTTAGCCCTCCTTGTACTCTCCCAAGCATTAGACTATGAAGTTTCTAGGGCAGAGAATCCTGGGAAGAGATCTGACACACAGGCTGATAAATACCAAGCATTATTCACCAGGAAAGGCTGCAACTGGATTCTAACCACAGGGCCCAAGGGGAAGCAGCAGGATTGCCCTAAGCCTTCTTTCTGCTTTCACCTTGGAAATGTGTGGTGAAACAGAATGCTGCAATTACTGTGAAGGCTCAGAAGCCAAGTCCCCCGTGCATGGCTGTGTGGGGTCACTCTGCCCACTAGTGGCACAACCACAAAACAACATGCCATTCAAAAATTTCCTCTGTAGGGTCCTTCTACAGTACACCACTCCCTGTTTCACTGACCAATCAGATTGCTCCTGACCCACAAAGCTCTGCCTTCGGTGCTCACAGGCAGCTTGTAAATAGAGGCAGGAGGAAAGGGGAAGTGTTTGCACACAAGCGCACTGGGAGATGAGACATGGGTGAAGGAATGGGTCTGTGCGCTGCACTCTGGAAATGACACTGCAAAGGCAAAAGCTTCCCTTTGGGCATCGCTGACCCTCTCTCACTTCTCTGTGCTTAGACTACAGGGTACTAGAGTTGGGCTACTACCTGGAGCTTCCTGTGAGACTGATGCATTGGAATGGTACTGTCGCAGTCATGAGCTGAGCACTTTGGGCTACAAGTACACCCAGCACTCAGAAGCAGGAATCAGACACTATCTTCAGAGAGCAGGAGCATGGTCTTCAAACTACTGTCTGGATCTCAGTTCAGAGAAACAGACATACCAGAGCTACACTGATGCCAGACACCAGAATGCGTCTGCCACTCTGCGCACTATTGCCAGGAGTCACAGGAACAACTGGATCTCAGGTACAGTACAGTACTGCTTAAGTCACTGAAAAGCTAGACAGAGCTATGTTTTTTTTGTTTTTTTTTTTTTTTTTTTTTTTTTTTTTTTTTTTTTTTTTTTTTTTTTTTTTAACTCTTTCTAAACCTCAGACCCTCTGCTAGGATTTGTTTCCTGCCTGATTATCCTGAACTAACTTACGGATTCTGCTTGGCGTGGAGCAGCTTCTGAAAACACCCTGCTACTAGCAGTGGGTACTTGGCACCTGGCAGGGAGTGATGTTGAGTTACCAGTCCTTCTAATACTGGATAGAAAGACTCCTTTTGACCTTCTCTTAGCTCAGTGATAGCCAAACTCCAAAGTACTGGATGCATAGGGAGGTTCCTTCTCTCACACAATGACTACACGGTATTCTCTCTGGAAACATCTAGGAAAGCTGCTGATGGTCTTAGAACTATGTGTTCAAGGCATCATGATAAGTACTTCACCCCCACCCCCTAGATGCCCCAGTGTCTGCATCTGCACCTCCGATCTCTTGAGCTGTACTAGGCAGAATCTCCAGCAGGTACCTCTAACACTGCCTCCCACAGCAACCACCTTGGATCTCAGCCACAATGTCCTCTTCCAGCTTCACGATCACTGGCTGGCTTCCCTGCCACGGCTCCAGGCCCTCCGCATCAGTCACAACCAGATTAAAGACCTTTTTCCAAAGACCTTCCACAATGCCACTTACTTGAGACACCTGGACATATCCTCCAATTACTTGCATGCTGTGGAGAGATATTACTTTGATGTGTTGGTAAACCTGGAAGAGCTTCTAATTTATGACAACTGGATCATACGGGTAGATGAAAAAGCCTTTGCCAGGCTAAGCAGCTTGCAGAAGCTCTACTTGAGCTGGAACAACTTAACCAAGTTCCCCTTTCAATCCATGCAAGGATTCAGTCACCCCAAACTCAGGACACTGGACCTCTCCTCCAATAATCTGAGCAGCATTCCCATTGATGAGATTATGGCCTTGCCCGTGTCCATTAAAAATGGCTTGTATCTCCACAACAACCCAGTGAAGTGTGACTGTACACTCTATCAGATGTTCCAGCAATGGAAGCAGCGAGGCTTCAGCTCCGTGCAGGACTTCCTCGAGGAGCATACATGCAGGGCCTTTGACAATGTGGCCCGGTCCTTAGTTAGATTCCTCAAGTACAGCACAATTTTTGAGAACTGTTCCTTGAGAAAAGGATATCTTGGTGCACCAGAGGTGAATCTCAGAGTGCTTGTGGAAAAGCCCCTGCTGATGGACTGTAACACAAGTGTGCATGACCCCTCTGCCACCTACATGTGGATCTCACCTCACCATGAACCCATCACACACCCTGGGAACAGTAATCATACCCTTGAAGTTTACCACAATGGGAGTTTAAAGATCACAGCAGCCAAGCCATGGCATTCTGGGGTATATATATGCATAGCTATAAGCAAGCACTACAACCTCAACAAATCCCATGAGGTCAATGTAACAGTTCACTACCCTAAGCTGGATGGGGAATTCTTCAATACAGGCCTCACCACCCTCCTGGGGTGTGTAGTCAGCCTGGTGCTAGTTTTCATGTACCTGTACCTCACTCCATGCTGCTGCTTCAGATGCTGCAAAAGGTCTGCTACCCTGAGTCCTCCCCAGGAATGCAGTGCTCAGTCCTCGATTCTGAGCACCACACCACCAGCCACAGAGGGACCCAGCCGCAAGATCAGCACCCACAAGCACGTGGTGTTCTTAGAGCCCATCAAGGAGGTACAAAATGGCAAGATCCAACTGGCAGTCAGCGAAGATTTCCCAGATACCAAGAACCCCAAAATCCCACAGCTCAAGTCAGACTCTGAATCCATTGGTTCTATCTTCTCGGACACCCCCATCATGTCATAGGTAGGGACCTACTGGATTTGATGCCGCTGCCCACTGATTTGACAGGCAGAATGCGGGACCCCGCAGCCACTTCACAGGTGGAGTGCAGTGGCTCCCCAACACTTCTGATTGGCCGAGGGCTCCTAATGGCCCTGCCCCTTGCCACTGGTTGGCTGTGAGGGCTGTCCATCATACAGCCCTACCCCACCTTGCTGCTGATTGGTGAAGAGGGGCGGGGCCACATAACAGGCAGACTTCACAGCCAATCACAGGGGGGGGGGGGGGGGGGGGGGGGGCCTATCATGCTAGCAGCCCTTTGATGGGCAGTCCCCTCTCCCCTTACTTATTTTTCGTAAATATTCTTTTTTTCCCCCTTGCAGATTTTGCATGCTTTGCCCACCTCCATGGGCAAAGCCAGGTTTTGCAAATCTGCAAAATCTATGGTATCGTGATTTCAGTATGTCCCTAGTCATAGGAGGTAGGAGGCCTGGAAGCAGAGATGGGTGGTAGTTTTGCAGGATATGGAAATTTGGGGCATCAGTAGTGGTCCCCACTGCAAGCAGAAGGGGCACAATATAGCGGTGGGGTCTCCCACCCAGAAGAGCCCAGCTTTCTTCAGTTATTATCCAAGGATGGACTGTGGTGTATCTTCAAACTCCAGCTACATCTAAGAATCACCACATTCTTAAACAGAAGGCAAAGATGATCATCTGAGATCTGCTCAATCTGTGACTGCAGTCTGATGGCCCATGCCTCAAATCACTGTTTGAACTGAACCAAGTCATTTTCAGTACAGATCTAGGTTTTATTTGATTAAATACTTTTTGAAGAATCTCAGCTGACTGCAGCCTGTTCTGTGACAGACGCACATGACAGTAAAGAGTATCCCATGCTCCACTAAATTTCTGGCAATGGAACAGAGATGGTTTCTTCTGGTGACCATTAATATGTCAAGAGAAACCTGTCAGGGAACTCCTGCCTTTTCTGGCTAGCATTGAAACTGACCTTCAGGAGGTTAACATGCCAGCTAGCTAGTAACCCTGTGAATTTACTGCTACAGAGAATTGCAGCAATGACATTAACTAGCCAACTCTTCCACCTGATTCAACCCTAATCCTTCTCCTTTTCCCTGCACAGCCTGTTTTTCCCTCTAATACTGGGCATAGAAAAACATGAAAGAACCATCTATTCCTGGCTGACCCCTGGACTTACTGGACTACACACTGCTGGAAAAGCACTCTTCTTGAGAAAGACAAACCTGCCCTTTGCATGTGCACGGACAGTAGGATAAGTGCCAAAAACTATCCTCTAGATCCTAGTGCTTAAAATATGTTAACAAACAGCTTTAATTACAAAGCCATGCATGTCATTCATTTGGCCTAGCCCACTGGGCTTCTTTTCTAGATACATTTGTCCCCAACAGTAGGTATCCACACTGCTATGCTAAAATTCTGCTACCTCTGGACAGCACAAATGATGTTGGCTTGTTACGTGGAAGGGCAGGGGGAAGGAGTGAGAGAGTTGTGAGAGCAGCAAGCTCCATTCCCAACAGCAGAGGTGATGCAGTCTCGTGCATGGGAAGCTAGGGCTCCTGTGGAGAGCAAGGACAATTCTCTCCTGGGTATATGGTGATGATGTCTACTGTGAACAAATTAGCTCACTGCTATCCCCTTTAAGCAAGCATACACAAGTTTAGATAAATAATGCCTCCCATCTGTGTGTTTGTAAGGGGGATGTCAGTGACATATTCGTTAGACAAAGTCATTTAGCCACGTAAACAATACCTTATTTGTCTCCTCCGATGCACACAAGTAGCCTGCAAGTAGTATATTTCAGGAATGTACTTGATAGCTGTGTATAGCGCAACAATTATGACCCAAACCCACATTGCTGAGAGTTTCCCCAAGTAACTAAGGACCATCAGTTCCTAAGTGTGCCATCTCTCTTGCCTGCTTCTCCTTGAGAAGGGCAGATCTGCTGCTAGGGCACACTGGGGAGCTGGCTCTTTCAGCAGTAATCTAATAAGTGTACTGATAATTGTGACTAATCCATTCCTATCCGCCATGAATTCTCTTGTTACATTTGGATTAAAAAAATATTTTCTTTTCTAAACTCAAGTTTGCCTGCGTGTTTCTCTGCCCTTGTATGGGACATGGGGCAGTGCCTATCCAGTCTGTTCTCAAGTGCTCTCTCAAAGAAACCCTCTCCCCTCCCTCCTCACTGCTGCCCTATGGAACAGGAACACATTGGAGGAACTTTATGTTTGTGTCGACCCCAGCACAGGTGGTCAGGTCACCGACTCCTTGCAACCACCTCTGTATTTGGCTCAATGTCTACATTAAGGTCACAATGAAAGAGGAGTACTTCAGTGATTGGGACTGAAATTTGCAAAGCCAGAGCTATTAGACACTTAGCCTCCTGTAGGAGCATCATGTTAGCACATATAACCAGCAGGACAGAGCTCCAAAGTAGTAGGATGAGGGGCAGGAAAACAACACAAGAGGGTTGATCCAGAGTAGGAAGCAGTCTTTTCCTAATTAAGGTCTGCAGAGCACTGTTCAGATGCTGCATGCAATGGTACAGGATATCAAGCTGTCTGGGAAGCTGAATGCCCCTGCCAAGAGACTCCATAGTCAGGCACAGTTTGCAAAAGAGCTGATCCCTCCCAGCTAACTCTGGCTTGTGCCTCTACAGCAGTGGTCTCCAACCTTTTTAAGCAGGAGATCACTTTTGGCATTTAAAAGCAATCCAAGATCTACCATGTGCCATTGCCAACCTCTGCCCAGCAGGTAAGTCTGCCCCACCCCACCTTTCCTCCCCACAGATCAAGGCAGAGGGAGAAAAATATTATTTGGGGGCATGCAGGTAAGTCCCACCTAGCTGGGGCCCTACTCAACTTACCCCTGCTCCTGCCTGTCCCACACCGCGGGGACTCGATCTAGCCCCTGCCCCTTCCCTCCCCCATGGACTGACCTGCTGGGCTGGGGCGTATGCATGCATACACGCGGGCACTCAGCCCCCCACCCGTCTTGGATGGACTCCAAGAGGCTCTGAGATCTACCGCAAGAGGCTGTGAGATCTAATGGTGGATTGAGATCCATTGGTTGGTGACCACTGCTCTACAGCATTATGTGAAGGGCAGCTTGATTCTAATGTAGACAGAGCCAAAGTAGCAGACTGGTGAGGTGGCTCTGGCTGAAGCTCCTGTCAGTGTTTCCAAGCCCCTGGGAATGGAAGGGTATTTAGAACTCACAGGAGGGATGAGGAGAGACTGGAGATGCAAGGTCCTGCTCTACATGGTGGACAACATGGACTCTGGCAAACAGTGGGAGCACACTCACTTCTTCCTACTTCAGCACTTCTCACTTCTTCCTACTCCAGCAATCCTTCAGGCCACTGACAGATATGGGAAAAAACCCCAAAACAGCATTTTACTTTCAGCTCAGCATGCTCCTGCACTGAGTACAGCACATGCCCAGAAGAGGAACCGCCTCAGTTTGACTCAGTTCACCCAGCACCTGTATAGATTGTGTGCTTCAGCAGGGCTTTTTGGCACTTCTATCTAATAGCTGATTCAATCAGCTATTAGATAAAATGCCAAAAAGTTGACGAAGCGCGTGATCTATATAGACGCTGGAGAGTTGGGTCAAACTGAAGCGGTTCCTCTTTTGGTAATGCACATTCCCCCCGCCAAATCTGTCAGTGGCCTCGATCTCCAGCAATCCTCCTTCAGCCTCAGAAGAGTCCACCATACATACCTTGCTCCTCTTTTCCAGTCCCGCACACATGCTATGTCAGTGTCAAACATTTGTGCTCATCAGCTTGCTCACCCAGTGGTTGGAGGTCACCCACCAAACAGTGGATGCCCTCTGTATTAGTGCCTGGGTCCAGCTAGCCAGTATCTCAATCACTGGGCTTAGCATCATTCTGGAAGGCTTTGACCCTGCCAATTGCTAACCTGGGGGTGGCTGAAATTGTATTAACAGAGAGTTCTGCCATTGGTCCTGCTCCCCTGACTTCTTTCTCCCTGACAAAACAAGCACCTGTCAGTGAAACTTATCCCCTGCTAAGTTTTAGACCTCTCTGCAGCACTCGCACCCCTCAACAGGGTGAAGCACCTGCAGGCGGCTGAACATGCACAGCCTTTCCCAACTACCCACCCACCAGCACTTACACTGGTCAAACCAGCAGCAGCAATGCCATAAACTGTTGGGTAACCACACATAGCACAGCATAGCACAGCACAGCAGGCACTCTGTTAGGGGAGAGGCACTTCTCCAGCTCAAGCAGCACAGAGTTGAGAGCAGGAAATTCATTTGAGAGGTTCAGAAATACATCCTTTCTCTGCAGCAAGAAACTGGCTGCACTGGCCAGTAACTAGACAATGGGCTCAGGCCAAGAAAGTCACACCTCTAAGCTCTGAGCCACTTTTTCTGGGCTTGCACTGCCCTGTGGAGAGGCAAATCTTGCTCTATAAGAGAGACAAGAATAGAGTGGGCACACAGGACACAGATTTTCTGTGCTATGTTCAGGGAGTCCAAGAGGGAGTGCAGAGCAACAAAAATGATTATGGACTTGGGAAGCAAGGCTTAGGAAAAGCTGAAAGAGCTAGGGCTATTTAGTCTGAAGAAGAGAAGATGGAGGAGGGATTTGATAACAGTCTTTAAATAACTGAAGGGTGATTACAGAGAGGATGATGATGATGAGCTTTTCTCGGTGGCTGTAGGGGACAGGACTAGGAGCAATGGCTTCAAGCTTCAGCAGGGGAAATTTGGATTGGAGGTTAGTAGGAATTTTCTGACTGTGTGTGTGGTCAAACATTGGAACAGGCTACCTAGAAAAACTGGAATCTCCATCCCTGGAAGTTTTCAAGAGCAGCTGGACAGGCACTTAGCTGGGATGGTTTAGTCAGGGATGACTGCCTTGAAAAGGGGGTTGGACTTGATGACCTCATAAGGTCCCTTCCAGTCCTAATTTCCCATTACCTTAATATTTACCTGGCAGCAGGGAGGTATGAGTTCCTTTCCCAGTATTCTCTAGCCCCATGTGCACTGGAGACACACAGCTAAGGACATACCCATGCAAGGTCCCTGATAACAGAGTTGGAGTTGCGGCTATACCATGCTGGCTCCTTGCATAATGGAAGAACACATTAGCAGACCCCAAATGCCAAAGATGCAGAAGTACACAGCCAGGGCCACTGCTTACTCCACCATCCAACCAG